CTCTAGTCTTACACTGCTAAATTAGGGACGACTAGCGCAGATAGCCCTCGTGTAGCTTTGCGCGAAATCCATAACAAACAAATAAACCCCACAGTGAACACAGTAAATAGTCCAGTGTGGATTTTCTCATAAACGAACAAACAAATTTCTAAAATGTTATGCACTTTAAACCATGTGTCATGTCACAAGAACACGTGACTGACGTTTACGTCTTAATGCAGAGCGTGCGTGGTAAGAATCAGTAGTGGCACTGTTTGTATGTAATTTGTAAGCGGTTTAATTGTTTTATATCAATGTAGTAAGTTCACGAAACTTTCTAAGTTTTACGTGTGTGTCATAAATTATTCATATTTTAGCACAAAACGTTATACTGATCAGAAGTCTGACCGACCTAGTGAAGGTCTCGTGCTTTGTACTCATACCTCATAGTGAATGGAAATGTTCTACAGAACAACAAAACGTTTTGTAAAAATATAGAATTTGTGATATACATCAGATGCCCATTTTTTCACGTAACACAAAACAGTAAGAGTTCATATTTATTTTCCATTAATTTATATAATATATAAATATGAAACGTTTGCATATATGACTGTTTTTGTTCTACACCAAGATATTGGTTTATAAATCCGACTGATTAAACATAATATCAGTGTTACAAACTTCATTATATTCAGTTGGAGCAAAATTTTTAATAAATCAGACATAACAGGACTTAAAAATGAAATATATCCACATTAGCTAAAGAAAATATGGTATGTCCAAACGAAAATCTATTTTTATAAGCAAGGAGACTGTTTGAACTTGTATTCAATCTATCATGACCTATTTGACCCTCAAAAATGCGCAGGATAAGCATCCAGAGTTTGAATATTTTATGTACAAATATTTACGGACAACAGTCGTTTTTATTTTTTCAGGACTGCGTAGATTGTAAACTAGTATATGGAGAATCATATATGTTGACTATTAATTACACTATAAAAATAGTCAAACTGTAATAAACGAGATGGAAAACATTAAGTTTACGGACATAAAGTCTTTGTTTATTATTAACCAATACGATATTGAAGTGAAATTATAAAGTAGAAAACAGATCATTACGATAATGCAAAAAACATGTGCGTATCTGAGAGTCGACGTCCAAACAAAGTTTATTATGATATTACTTCAAATTGTAACACGTCAATATTGATCAAAGTCAGCTTATGGAGTATCTTTTGGAAATATATGAACCTAGCTACCATCTTTGGAACAACACGCCTCTATCGGCACTTTGTGTAACTATACTTATTATTTCTAGAAATATGACGTCACAAGTAATATGACCTCTTGCCAACAGGGGATACCCTTACTGATTGACAGCCTTTGGTCTCCAAAAACCAGTGACCTCCACCTTTGGGTGGTGTAACGCGTCCCCTAACTGATGTTACATGTTATTTTTAATTTTACAATATATATAACATACTACCTTAAATATCACACTGTTACAACCTGTGTCACATTCTATGTAAAGCATTGTAACTTAACTTGTATTTTAAAGCAAATAATACAACATGTGTAATATATTGATAAGTACACTAAACCTGCTTCCTATATACAATATAATATAAAACAGATAGTGCAAAATGTGCTTTATATTAAGCCGAATACTGTGACCAATGTTGCATACTTTGTATAATAGTACAACTTGTTTTATATATTAATTTCAATGATTTAGCCTGTGTTATACATTTATCTAAATATTGAAAATTTCATTGCATATTTACCATTTTAAGTTATGAAACTCATATGAATTGCCCTTCAAGTATTTCAAACTTCATCTTGACATAAAATCATATAAACGTGATAAAGCAACGTTTTTCCCCCGTTCTATCAGTATCAGCAGCCCCGGTGCTTTTACTCGAAAAATCCAATTGATCAAAAGTTAGGAGAAGAAGCAACTAAGGCCAGTGACGAGTTGTCTTCAAACAGCATGGATGGTTTAAACCTTGAGTGTGGAAGTCTGCAGAAAACGACACAAAGTAAGTAACTTTTCACGTATAGAGTTGTTTCAGTAAGTAATAACATAAACTGTCAATTGAAATATTCCTCATCTATAGTGCCCAGAGTTTGAATCATTACTTACATGCAACAAGCCACAGAACAAGAGTCATCTTTTACATGCACAGTCTGTTTGTGGCCATTCAAACGGTCTGCAGTAGGTCACAGGACGTGAGTTATCCCTTACTTTTAGAGTCTGTAGCAAGCCACAGAACGTGAGTCATCCCTTAGGTTCAGAGCCTGCAGCAAGTCACATAACGCGTGCCATCCCTTAAGTTCAGAGCCTGCAGCAAGTCACAGAACGTGAGTCATCCCTTAAGTTCAGAGCCTGCAGCAAGTCACAGAACGTGAGTCATCCCTTAAGTTCAGAGCCTGCAGCAAGTCACAGAACGTGAGTCATCCCTTAAGTTCAGAGCCTGCAACAAGTCAGAGAACGTGAGTCATCCCTTAAGTTCAGAGTCTGCAACAAGTCACAGAACGTGAGTCATCCCTTAAGTTCAGAGCCTGCAACAAGACACAGAACGTGAGTCATACCTTAAGTTCAGAGTCTCCAACAAACATCGATTTACTTTATCACATTAACTTAAGTCCAATAACTTCGTAAGTTTTCGAGTTCACCTAAACTAATCTTTTTGCGTGAGATCTTAAAAAATTATTTGAGTTTTTCGTATTTTCTGGATTGGCATCCTAGGACCTGATTGGTAATCATGGGCGTATAACCTATAAATGTTTAAATAACTTATGTCATTACAATGCAGCGTCGTATTTTAAAGAGTTTAGAACATACGAAAACATAAATGACTTAAAACTCTGTCTAGCTATGTTTTGGACTGTATGAAGAAAATATCCAAAATAATTTCGTTAGGACTATTGACATCAATCCCTCTATTCCTTGATACTGCAAAGCTTGATGTATTAGTGTATATATTAAAAGACCAAGTATCAGGATACAGTTACGAATCATTGCAGTGTCAATGAACCAAGTATTGTTCATAATATATGGGAGAATGGGTATCAATAAGGGCCTAAAATGATTAAAAGAAAAACTAGGAGAAAATGTGTGCAAATTTAATGACGAGTGTAATAGATCACTTAATGACGAGTGTAACAGATCACTTAATGACGAGTGTAATAGATCACTTAATGACGAGTGTAATAGATCACTTAATGACGAGTGTAACAGATCACTTATGACAAGTTAAATCCTTACAGATTCATAATGCTAAACATGGTTGCCACTAACATGGGAGTACATTTTGTGTTAATGGAGTACATTTTATGTTAATAAGAATAAATTTTGTGTTAATGGGGTACATTGTATGTTAGTTGGGGTACATTTTATGTTAATGGGAGTGGCTTTTGTATCAATGGGGGTATATTTTACGTTAATGGAAGTGCATTTGGTATTAATGTGGGTACATTGTATGTTAATGGGGTACATTATATGTTAGTTGGGGTACATTTTATGTTAATGGGAGTGGATTATGTATTAATGGGGGGGGGGTATATTTTACGTTAATGGAAGTGCATTTGGTATTAATGGGGGTACATTTTATGGGTACAAGTTACGTTATAATATTTCATTATAGTTCCTGTGCAGCAGAATCTGGGGATTACATGATATCCATTTGAGCCAACCCCTAACTTCACGTAATTTGACCAGCACAAAAATGAATCTATAGTAGTGTCAACTACATTGAATTAATATCTCTCGTCAGTTATGATCAATTGCAACTAATGCATGTTGGAGTGTTGAAATGGCCATACCATAAAACAAGTGCCTTGACCCTGAACGACACGGAAAATAGCAGTCGCACATCGAGTGGTCACGTGATGCTATGTAATAGGATAATCGTAGTGAGTGAACATTCCAAGTTCCAAAGATATCAAAGTCAAAAGTGGCCGCGAACTAACGTCTCCATATGTACGATATTTATTACAAGTGAAATCCGTACCCTATAGAAAACCATTGCATATCAGGCCATCTTTTTTTTTTCTCTATATATATACTGTGTTAAAACACACCTTGGAGCACATTACCTACAACATGCCTTCTTCCTTTTGTTTGTGACAGACAACACGTTCAGGACTACCTACAGCCGTTGAAATCATCTTTAAATTTAAGTTTGTTTTCTGTAGGCAATTTCAGGCCCTTAATGACGCTCTTTTTTTGTTATTTGCCTTACAAATAGTAAAAACAAAAGTATATATTTGTTAACTTATAAAACACAGATACCATACAGTTTTATAAACATATAAATGTTATTCTTAAATAGTTACTCTTATCCAACATTGAACTTTTAAATGTTGATAAATTTTATTATATGGCTAAAGTAATTAGTGTATAATAAATATGTAATCAGTGTATAATAAATATGTAATTAGTGTATAATAAATACGTAATTAGTGTATAATAAATATGTAATCAGTGTATAATAAATACGTAATTAGTGTATAATAAATATGTAATCAGTGTATAATAAATACGTAATTAGTGTATAATAAATATGTAATTAGTGTATAATAAATATGTAATCAGTGTATAATAAATATGTAATTAGTGTATAATAAATATGTAATCAGTGTATAATAAATATGTAATCAGTGTATAATAAATATGTAATTAGTGTATGATAAACATGTAATCAGTGTATAATAAATATGTAATTAGTGTATAATAAATATGTAATTAGTGTATAATAAATATGTAATTAGTGTATAATAAATATGTAATTAGTGTATAATAAACATGTAATTAGTGTATAATAAATATGTAATTAGTGTATAATAAATACTTAATTAGTGTATAATAAATATGTAATTAGTGTATAATAAATATGTAATTAGTGTATAATAAATATGTAATCAGTGTATAATAAATATGTAATTAGTGTATAATAAATACGTAATTAGTGTATAATAAATATGTAATCAGTGTATAATAAATATGTAATTTTTTCTAAAAAATGTTTTTTTTTGTTCTAAAAATACACCGTATTAAACCGGTTCAAAGAAACTTTGATTTGGTTCATAGCTTTGTTAATCTCTATACTGTAGATTCACTTTAAGCTACTCTCCATACTGTAGGTTCTCCTTTAGCTACTCTCCATACTGTAGATTCTCCTTTAGCTACTCTCCATACTGTAGATTCTCTTTAAGCTATTCTCCATACTGTATGTTCTCCTTTAGCTACTCTCCATACTGTAGGTTCTCCTTTAGCTACTCTCCATACTGTAGGTTTTCTTTAAGCTACTCTCCATACTGTAGGTTCTCCTTTAGCTTCTCTCCATACTGTAGGTTCTAAAACCTACAGTATGGAGAGTAGCTAAAGGAGAACATACAGTATGGAGAGAAGCTAAAGGAGAACCTACAGTATGGAGAGTAGCTTAAAGAAAACCTACAGTATGGAGAGTAGCGAAAGGAGAATATACAGTATGGAGAGTAGCTAAAGGAAAACCTACAGTATGGAGAGTAGCTAAAGGAGAACATACAGTATGGAGGGAATCTAAAGGAGAACATACAGTATGGAGAATAGCTTAAAGAAAACCTACAGTATGTAGAGTAGCTTAAAGAAAACCTACAGTATAGAGAGTAGCTAAAGGAGAACATACAGTATGGAGAGAAGCTAAAGGAGAACATACAGTATGGAGAGTAGCTAAAGGCCTTTAGCTACTCTCCATACTGTAGGTTTTCTTTAAGCTACTCTCCATACTGTAGGTTTTCCTTTAGCTACGAGACATACTGTAGGTTTTCCTTTAGCTACTCTCCATACTGTAGGTTCTCCTTTAGCTACTCTCCATACTGTAGGTTTTCCTTTAGCTACTCTCCATACTGTAGGTTCTCCTTTAGCTACTCTCTATACTGTAGGTTCTCCTTTAGCTACTCTCCATACTGTAGGTTTTCCTTTAGCTACTCTCTATACTGTAGGTTCTCCTTTAGCTACTCTCTATACTGTAGGTTTTCCTTTAGCTACTCTCCATACAATGGATTCTTCTTAAGATACTTTTAAGACAGTGAATTTTCCTAGACCTACTTTCTATATTTTTGGTTCCCCTAGATCTACTTTCCAGACAGTTGATTCTCTCAAACTATTTAACATTTAGAAATTACCTATGTAGTTATGAATGCGTAAGATGATACTGTTCACCTTATAATCAATACAGAATGATATTGATAATTTATTAATTTATCGATAGGTTATCTAGATTAGGTGTATACGGTTTTCAAAGACATCGAAACGTATTCGTGATGTTTTTTAACAACCGCCCAGACACTTTGAAATAAATTTCCATTTGACGTTGTTGCATAGAAAGCTGTCAAACTTATTTGATCTTTATTTTATCAAAGAAACGTAGACGACCACTTGTCTCAATTTCTTCTTATTTATTGTTTAGTGCGAAGAAACGAGTCTGGATCAGAGATCAACCACAATAGAGTAGATCAGAAGTTAGCAGAACTGGATCAACTCCTCAAGCACAAAGTAGATTTGGCAGAACTGGATCAACTCCTCAAGCACAAAGTAGATATTTCTGAAAGACGACATCGAAAGACATCTCAGGTATGTGTCAAAATATTCTTGCTAAATTCTTGTCTACTCATATTCTAATCATAAACACTTTAATTTACTTTATTTACTCAATTTAATTTAATCTATTACACTTACGAATCTCTGGTTTACACAAAATACTGACTTACATAATAGATATAGACTAGGTTAGATTATTACATTTACAAACACTAAACCATAAACCATATGTATTTTCTATCATTGGTTTAAATAACACCTGTTTTTAAACATTTCTTTACGAAACACTTTACAATAAGTACGTACTTGTAAAAAAACTAATCTATGTATAAGATCTGTTAGCAGTTTTAATGTAATATATATCTGTATATCTGTTTTCAAACACTGAATTACTTAACTCTGTTTTTAAACACAAACAACAAGACCTTGTGATCGAGATGCCACTATGTTTGTTTTACTGGAAACGTGGAGATGGCCAGGAAAGAATTATTACCAGTCTCTTTCTAAAGTAATGTTACATAAACAACTAATATTAATACTAAAAAAAAGACGATCCCACAGAAAAGGCAGTTCTTAATACTGAGAAACATAAAACTTCCCAAGTAACCCAAAAAAATAATTATTATTATTAACAACACTCAACTTCCTCTTTAACATAAACATATAAGTCTTAACACTAACAACAAAAAGCTTCCAAATAGAAATAATAATTCTTAATACTGACAATATAGAACAATTTAAGTCAAGGCAATGTGTAATTATAATTACAGACGACATATCAGGGGTCATTATAATTACAGACGACATATCAGGGGTCATTATAATTACAGACAACATATCATGTGTAATTATAATTACAGACGACATATCAGGGGTCATTATAATTACAGACGACATATCATGTGTAATTATAATTACAGACAACATAACATGTGTAATTATAATTACAGACGACATATCAGGGGTCATTATAATTACAGACGACATATCAGGGGTCATTATAATTACAGACGACATAGAACACGTTTTTGTTTATTTGGTCTTAAGCACAAAGCTACGCAATTGGCTATGTGTGCTGAGGCCACTGCGCATATTGAAACCCGATTTTTAGTGTTGTAGGCCCTCAGACTTACCGCTAAGCCACTGGAGGACGAATAACACGCCAGTTAACAGTTAACTGTAGTTCTAAGTACTAACAACACAAAGATGTTGAGAATCTCATGTGTATAATTAGAACTGGTACAAAAAAAGAGATCCTACTAAGCGGTGTAAAACACGATATCATATACTAGACACTTTAATCCCATGAAAAATGTTTAAATTACCATTGAAGTTAAAAAATAATACTATTGTTAGATTTATATTATTTTTGTAGACACTCACTATACCGTCTTGTTGGGTATTTGAAAAAAGGACTGCTTTATAAGACAAATAACAAGATGTATATAATTATAATGTTTGAAAACTGAAACTAATATACAGAGGAGGATAATAAAGTAACTAAGAGCTGAAGAAATAACAGAGCAATAGGAGAAAATAATTTATGAATACTGACACCGTCAACAACAAACGATGAATGTAGGATGATATGTTTCATACAGAAAACTTAAGAAACACAGTAGAGTTTAAAATATTTCATTTACTGTCAGCATAGAGAAGTTTATAAAATAATGTTACCAATACTAGCAACATGAAGAAAAATATAAGATAATGTTTCTAATGCTAAGAACACGGAATCAGATATAATATTATAAATTATTATGGAAACGGCCAATAACAAGAGAATGAACTGCATCAGATTACAGTCACGTGTTGATTACTTACACTGTGATTTATTGTCATCCAACCAATCAGAAAGTGACACCATGCTATAAAACCTATGAAAATATAGGGAGTATACTATGCCCAGTAATAGTAGTGTGAATCCAATCATGGCTACTAGGGAGAAACGTGAAGAAATGAAGGATTTATCTCATCATTGTTACTGTTAATAGTAGAAGTGTTCGAGATAGAAAACCGAAACTCTCCAATAGTGATATTAATTGTTTCAGCGTATATTCTTTACGAGAAATACAATGGTCGAATAACGAATTTGCCAAACAAGTTCATGTAAATACAGATGTGAAAGTTACCTCGAGTAGATTAACATACACAATATCATGAAGTGGCCACAGTGGACGAGAAGTTGTTCAAAAATCTCCGCTAAGAAGAGGTAAACAAACGAAAAGACTGAAATGGACACCGCATTTCAATCAAAGAGATGAGCATAGCTGTAGATGAACAGATGAATCAAAGTCCAAATTGCTGGTAACAATCAATGACACTTTATTCAATGGTGGAAAGGAGGATGGTGATAAACAAACCAATGTGTAATAGGGAAGTCTTTTGAAACATCGTTCATTCTACCTGAATTACTTCCGTAGATTAGCCGTCCTAGAATGTCTCTACAATGATAAACAAACCAATGTGTAATAGGGAAGTATTTTGAAACATCGTCCATTCTACCTGAATTACTTCCGTAGATTAGTCCTCCTAGAATGTCTCTACAATGATAAACAAACCAATGCATAATAGGGAAGTCTTTTGAA